GCTTCTCGAACCACCTAACACGGTTCCAGCCTTGTGACATGGAACGTTGTTCTGCTGCAAGATTCCGTTTCCAATTGGGAAGATAGACTCCATATAAGGATGTTTAGATCCACCGATGTCAACATCCCGTAAAGCATACTACCGCCACCACCAGCTTGTGTATAATCTTCTGTACAGGGGGGAGCAGTTGTTCGCCTAAAAGACGATGTATCTTGACACGACCATCGACGTGGTGAATGAGTAATTGCGATTCGTCCGACCTGGAAACTGTCTTACAGTTCTCCATGGTTTAGTCTCTATGTTCTCGTGCCTACTGTAAGCGTAGTGACAATGATGATTGGTCAACAGAGGCGTATGAATGTGATATCTGCTGCGCAGTCCCATATTCAACAGTGTCCGCTGAATTGTGTGTTTCGAAACACTTGCACTTGGACCTGCATTGTACTGGGCTGTCAACTGAGCCACTGTCTGTCACCCATTTTGCTGTATCTAGCGGGAAAGTCGCCGACGTTCTTTTCCTTTGATGACACGTGGACGTTCAACACCTTGGCATCTATTGCTGTCGTCATTTATCCACTTTGCATAAATACTAATAACGGCAGATCGTAAAAACCTACAACTCGTACAGTTTAGGAAATAATCATTCCGAATCTTCGGATCAGATGCACTTTATCAGATTCGCTTAGATCAGCAACCTTTCCCTTCACTCGAGATTTTTTTCAGACCATTATGTTTCTTTCTTCTTTATTGATTATTTTACGACAGAAAGTTTCAAGATTAAGTGTGGCAACCGATAAATAGCTACAGCTGTCGTTTACTCTCAAACTATATGTTCGAGTAATACGTTCGAGTCTTATGAAGTAACAACACAGCACAATTTAAAAAATTATTAATTAAATTCAACCTCTCTGTAGAAAACAGTAATCAATATACTATCATGAACGAGTTAAGAAATATATTTTATCTTCATTCTCAGTTTATTTAGCGTTGCAAAAATTATTATTATGCTTTATTTAAAAAATGATTAAAATTGCTTTATTATGTTCATTTCTCATGCATCTGTAAAACAGTGGGCTACATGAAAAACAAATAAAAGAATAAAAGTTTTATAAATTCAGTTTAATTTAAAATTTATAAAATAATTATTCTAGTGATAATTTATAGTGTACTTTAAGGTAAACAAGACATTAAATACACTAAATAGCCAAACATTATTATCACCTACTCAATGAGGTGTTGCGCTATCTTGGCCTTTGCATGGATGTTACAAGTTCTTTGTAGACAGGTTGAACCAAATAACTAAGCAGCAGTCAAAGTCGAGATAGGGGGCAAGAACATTGATTGCAATTCATCCTTATGCACCTCGAACCACCCTAACACAAACTGAGTGTTGTGACATGGAGCGTTGCCCTGCTGGAAGATTCGATATTCAGTTGGGAAGACAAGACGCCATGTAAGGATGAAACTGATCCGCAATTATATTCAGATAGTCCGCAGATGTGATGGTCTCTTCTACCACAACTAAGGGTCCCAGAGCCGCCTCTGTCAGAAGAAACCTCAAAGCATAATACCATCACCACCAGCTTCTGTATGATGTTATGTATATGGGGAAGCAATTGTTCTCTTAAAAGACTATATACCGTGACACCACCACCGACGTGATAAATCAGAAATCGTGATTCATCGGACTAGACAACTGTCTTTCACTTACCCATGGTCCAATATTCGGAAATAATAATCATTGTCAAATACTGCAGGCGTATTTGACAATGATGCTCTGTCAACAGAAGCACGCGAGTGGGACGTCTGCTGTGCAAACGCCTAAACGCTTACACGTGGACTTGCATTGTATTGGGCAATCAGATGAGCCACTGTCTGGTACCGAATTTGCTGGACCAATAGGAACAGTCTCCGATGTCGTTTTTCTTGTGATGATACATGAACGTTCAACATCTTGGCATCTACTACTGGTGACATTTGTCCACTTTTGCGTAAATACAACGGCGGATCGTAAACAACCCACCAGCCGTGCAATTTGGGAGACACTCATTCCGAGTCTTCGGGTCATTACAATCGGCCCTCTATCATATTAGCTTAGATCATCAGCCTTTACCATTACTCACAAAAGTAAGAGCAAAAATGGTTCCTTTATCCTTATCCTTTATACGCACAAAAATTGACGGAATATCGTCCAAGGCGCGACGTCTCCGGCTCGATGATAAGCAAGGCCAAGAAAACACATGATGTTATAAAATGCCGGACGTATTAAAGTGGAGGTCTGAATGATTCCTTTATCTTCTCCAGCAGCAGGTAAATATGGTTTACACTTAATCACGTGCCCTCCACGTCATCCAGATGAGTTCATTGAAAATTTTGGGGATGGTCATAATGTTTTGGCTCGTCTGTTTAGTTCTCTTTACAAAATTCTTCTGCAATTTGTATTAACGTTCTGTGTTTTTCTTGTGAGGAACAAGAACAAGAAATTTTTAAAAAATTGACTTTTCTTTTTAAAATACTAATTGATTTTAAAATAACCTTGAAAATAATGAACAAAGACAGACATTATGATTATATTCACATTTCTTTAAAATTATTCGCTAATTTTCATTTAACATGGCAAATATCTCTCAACTAAGGTACGACATTGCATCTGCATTGCATCTCAACTCATAAGATATTGCATTTGTTTTCCCTTTAAATTCAATTAACTTGTAGCACTCTTATAATACTTCTTTTTAAAAATCACATTTAAAGATAATTTCGGATTCTCACTTTCAGTAATTCATCGTATTTGTTATTCGACTTATATCAGTTAATGACATTTAAAACAAAATTCATTTATCAAAATATAAAAAATTTTTAAAGCGATCAGAACATTAAGCTAAATAAACTTTTAGGTCGGAAGATAAAGAAAAATGTTATATCCCACTGAAAGATAAAATTACAATTTCTCAGGTCAGGTTCGAAACATTAGAGCGCTATGAACGCTATTTCCTACTCATGTTCATTCTTTAATTATCGCGTAATAAGTTGTTTCTGTGAAACACCTTATTTTTGCGAAATATGTATTAAAGCTAAAAAAATATGTTTTCCTACTGGCGCTACTTTTATAGAATTTCATTGGGTAAATTAGAACTATGAAAAACGAGATTACTACAGTAATAAAAATATCTTTCTAAATAATGGATCCGAGCGGAAAGAGCAATGATTATTGGTAATTTGAACTGGGCTTCAATTCTGGCGAAGATATAAGAAGTCGTTCCTTCATTAGACAGATCTTACATATTGTACCTTAATCCAAATAATTTAATTTTTTATAAATAATACCACATTGTTTCACTGTTTATTATTCAGGTCAAAAATATGTAAAATTAAATTATTTTAAGAGGCAAACTTAGCATCAATCAATGATTAAGCACAATATTTTTCATCCAAAAACTTATGAAATACATTTTTTATGTTATTTCTGAATATCTCTCACTTACTTAAAATTTCAAATAGATATATTTAGAATTAAACGAAATTAAAAGAAAAAACTTTTTCGTATTTTTTATGATTGCTATGCAAAGGCTAGTGAAACTAGTGACTAAATGCAAAGACTAGTGGAACAAAATTACCAATTTCTAGTATAAAGTTTCAGAGAAAAATAACACTTAAGTGAATGGAAAATTAAAATATAATTAAGAAGATAAACAACTGACATCATCTTAAAATTCATCTCATGCTGAAATCTTTAATTGAATTTTTCGAGCTTGGAAAACTGAGTTGCTACTCACTTTCTGGACTAGAAAGGCGAGAATCCTTTTTAATTAACCCAAATCTTAATTTAAAAGCTCAGGTTATTTTAAAAGATGTTTCTGATGTGAATAGAAAAAATTATTGAATACAAAATAATCACATGTATATTTAGGCGTAATCTAAAAATTTGCGTAAAACACAAGCAACTTCATTAAGACATATAAAGTTACATAATTGTTTGCAGACATGCAATTAAATGCACATTTTTATTTTGTACAAAAAATCTGACATTAGTTTGCTTTAACTTCTAGAGACATTAGGACTTTTTTTAATGCAGAAAACATGAAAAATGAGCAATGCCCTCGCCAGGACTTGAACCTTGGACCTCTCGAAATACGCACCGAGCGTGCTGACCACTACACTACGAAAGCAAGCTAAGAAGGCGGAAGAAATGGTTTATATACTCTTCTTTTTAAAGGGCGTCAGGGGATTAGAGAACCCAATCGCCAAATCCTGGTGGTGGAGAGTCATCATCCACCACATTTTTTTAGTTCAGGTGCCACTGTAGAGATAGTAGGTTTTTTATTAATACAGAAAACATGAAAAATAAGCAATGCCCTCGCCGGGACTAGAACCTCGGGCCTATGGAAATACGCGTTGAGTTCGCTGACTATTATACCACGAAGTTAAGAAGGCGGGAGAAATACCTTATAAACTCTTTGAATGATAGTAATTTCAAAACTCTTTTATGTATTTCAATGGGAAATATAGCCGAACAACTAATATTCAAAAATACGCGAATTATGTATATGTAGTACATAAACCTTCGTAATACATGTTTTCTATTTATATCTACCTCAATACATCAGGACGGTAATACTGTTGGATATTGTAAAAAGCTTTACAAAATCTGACTCGAAACATTCTTTGACAAATTTAAGACAAACTTCATATCTAAATATAGATATTCAGTCAAACGACTATTTCTTAAGCATGGACATAGACGTTTCAGAGCAATCGACTAAAACCTTATGAAAATAATCCCAAATAAAAATAGCACCAGTACAAGTGAACATGGGATCGTTTCAAATCTTCAAAAGCACACAGCATATGCTAGTGGTTTGGATCTTTATGTTGTCTTTTGCATAAACATTATGTTATATTGAGGGAATTATTTGCCTCTCGAAACTAAAAAGGATTTTGTTACGATACATTGTGCAATGCAAAATTTTTGTAAACGGGCATTCTAATTTTTTTTGCAGGAAACGTTTCGAAATTTTTACAGGTAACTTACTCAAGGATCTCTTATGATGTTTTACAGCAAACAGATGAAGCACAGTTGCAAACTATAATCAAGATAGCTGTAAATTAGATATTCTGGATATTCCTGACTAAATGTTTAAGCGGATAGTCACCTAATAAAGTTATTTAAAACACGAAAATAACATGTAATGATTTTAATGAGTTCAGCTACTCTCATTTCTAAAGTCCAGCTAGCAAAATAATAATAGACATAAAGAAATGTATGTGATTTTTCTAAATTATTTGGATTATTAATACATTACAGACAAATTAAAAAGAAAAGTCAAATATCTTATGCTTTGCCGAATGGCGGGATGTGGAAATAAAAATATTTGGTACAATTCCGTTATGTACGTGCCACACATTTATGTCTGTGTGTACTATTTTGTTGCTCATGTGCTAATCATTTGTGTGTGTGCGTGTGAATGGATAAATAGTTTTGTCTTCAGATGGCACTATTGTTGGAACTCGACGAGTGTTCCACTTAGTTTATTATCAAGAATTTCATGAAAAGTTGTAAATCATTATATAAATAAAGAAACAACTTCAAAATTGGCAGTTTGAGCTTCCAGGTGCACAAATAATCGCCTGGCGATGAATGGTAGCTCTATACATTGAAGCAAAAGGAAGTACATTTTAAAACCACTTTTCGTTATTTGTAAACTTTTTATTCTAAGTTATTACTAAAATTATAGAGTTGAGAAAAAATGCACTTTTCATTTTAAATCCTGGAGATGCGCCCTATGCATTTCAGAAATTCTTAAATAAAACCTAAGATGGGTATGTAAATTTTTTATATCTGAATTCCATTCTTAAATATTTTTATTAATTATAAGTATCATAAGGAGTATTTATAATTTTTTGGAAAATAATGAATGTAATACTTGAAAAAGGTATGTTTTCTATAATTTTATCACCCTTTAATAAAATATATCTCGAACATAAATTAATTGTTTTTACTTCATAAATAATGTTTGAGAAAATCATTTTACATAGTATTAGTCAATAGTTATTTAATATTATAGTACTTGTTTTTATTTTAGTTGTAAACTGTATTAAATTTGATAGACATAAAAGTTCAAAGAAAAAAGCATAATGAAACCCATTTGCCTAATAACGCAGACGAAACCAAACACGAAACATATAAATTAAGTTCTCTACAGTTGAAACAAAATTAGAGTTAAGAAAGATAAAGTATTTGAGCTAAATAGTTATGCATTCGAAACGTAAAAAATATGAATAAGCAATCATGCGTCTAATTTTCATTAGAAAGATGAAGACTAAAGCTATTACTACAAACGCTTTATAGGGACATTGGCTTACACTGTTTTCTAGTTGCTTGATAATTAGGGAGACTATGCTTAAGATCACCTTTCAAATATGAGAGCTCTCTTCATAATTAGTAAAGAAATAATTACACGCAGATGCTTATAATTATATTTTAAGCAACCTAACGAGATAATTGCAAATATCATTTGCAGATAATGTATGTTATGAATAAACATTACTTCTTATCTGCACTATTAAAAAACAGCAGATTGTACATACAGCATTTTAAAAGAAGAAAAATAATATTTTACACAAATGTAATAAAAGATTTAAATTTTCAAAATATTTGTGAAGGTAAGACTTTTTTTTCCATTCTTTATGTAGTCTGAGCTTATTATTGCTAAATGTCAGCAAACTTGGGGAGTGGTGTAGTAATAAGTAAAATAATGTAATAAAGAAATTAAAGGAAAGAAATTAAATATTTTACTGCAAAAAATTCTGTAATGTAGTTATATTATTATGGTAATGAGCCAATAAAATATAATCATCAGTTTTGAAAGCAGAAAAAGAGCTGATTTGAGCCATAATTTACATTTAAAAAATACGTTTAAATAGCTTTTATAATTGTTAAGAAAATTCAAAAATGGTATTAGGAAGGAATTCAATAACATATTCTGAATTTTACAGAAGGATATTTTACAGAATGAAAATGTTCATTTTCCTACTCTATGATATTTGTAAAGTTTCCAATTATGCAAAAGTCACAGAAGATATTAAATTTCCTGCTCTAATATTGGTAGTAAAATTATAAACTTATTGTAACATTCATAAGACGGCAGATTATATCCTATTATTCCTTAGCATCTTAACATTAGGTAATACACGGTTATGCCGTATATATTTCTGCCATATGCGTCATGCAAAAATCTTAGAAATGTTACACTCGATGGCGGAGCGCTTTATTTTCCGGATAGAAGTTTAAACTTTTAGATATATCGGAACTTTCGTGATTTGAATTGTGTCGACAAAGCAATTAACGTTTATCTTTTCCCGAACCAAAAAAACTCTGTAGGTTAATATTCAGCTGATGTAATGTTAGTCCCAAAGGCACACGTTTTAACCAATGACTTTTGTTCTTCGTATGGCAGTATCATTTGAATACGTGTGCCTTGGTATTTTCCAGTAAATATATTAAATGTATTTTAATTTAAAACCACTTTATTAGTCTTTTCTAATAACAACTGATTATATATTTTAAAGGAAAATCTCACAGCTTAATGTTTGAATTCGTAAGTATCGACTGTACTTATTCCTTAATATTCATCGTGCTAGTTAAAGGGTAGGTTCACAAGTAAAAAAAATCGTCAATGTCAATCCTACATACCAGGCTTTGATTATCTTCCAAGTCATTCTGAATTTAAATTACGGCAAAGCACGCGAGGGATAAGGAAATGGATGCCTTTGTGGAAGATTTTTTAAAAGGAAACTGGATTTTATTCATGTTACACATGCGAAAAACCACGAAATCTCCTATGCATGTCGCCCGTTTGCTGGGGTTTGAATCTGGGTAAAACTAACAATGTCCAGCATTTTTACCTTTTCGCTCCTAGTGGATCACGAAGTCATTTTGTTTCTTCATTAGGAAATGCAAAGTATTACAATATTACTCAGATGTTCATAACTACAATTACTACATGAAAAACAAATGAGCATTTTAGCGTTTACTGGAAGGAAACTTTACCCTGCCAAGAAACACAAAAACTAACGCTCAAAAGGTATTTTAGGTTTACATTAATGTCCCATTTCAGAACTAAAGCTTTTTGTCAGAAATTTAGGAATCTGTTTCTAAATTTCTTACAAAAAGCTTTAGTTCTGAAAATCTAGGAATGGGGGAGGGGGCCAAGGAAAGTAAAAATTAGAACGATTTCACAATTATAACAAATTTAAATATGAACAAAGCTACGATGAAAATTTTTGTAAATGCTGTCTCAAACAACCGAGAATAACTGATCAAGAAATAAAATAACTATGAAAACAAATAGAAAATAGAGCTTCTAAAATTTTGCTGTGCGATGCTTCTAAATGGAAACTGAACTCTGTGCCGCTCCAGACTTTCCTACTGGAGATCTTCTTCTGTTTATAAATTCTCATCGTTACACAATCATTCAAAATTGTGATTCTGATGAACATTACTACTTTCGTGAGCATTGTAATATTACGTAATGAAGTAACTACATTATTAAAATTAATTAGAGTAAATTTGCACGCATGCGATGCATACAAATCTCTATTCCACCTAAATCATAAACCATAAATCTTAATCCACCACCATAAATCTTAATTTTATTCATAATGAAAACATGTATTCTGTCAAATAAATATGATCTTTTATTATTTTTGGTGAGAATTAATGTGGCTGGTAAGATTTTCTCTCCTTTAATACCTTCTCGAGGGAATACGTGTTTCCACATCCGACTAAGAAACATGCATAAGAAACTAAGGAAAAACTGCTGTTTAATTGGAAGGTTTTACACAATATATTCCCCTTTCTAAACAATCTGTATATTATACACACGTACTCCATGCAAGAAGTTAGCACAAGAATTTTACAGACCTACAAACCAAAATTCATTTTTATTTGGACTGTATGAGACATCTGCTTCTGTGTTGTTTCACATACAAATGAATGCTTATTATGCGACTTAATAAAGAAAATGACTATTTGCTGTGCAACAGACCGTCATGTGTTACCCAATATGACATTTGCTAATTTTATTACAGTGTGTTCTGCACTAATTGTTAGTAATAATATGAAACACTGTAAAAATTATTTATTCGTAGAAACTGTAAGTATACATATTTATGAAACACAGTTTTCCAACAGCATACAACTATCTGCTTTAATACGATTTTTACACATTTCATTGTATATCTAGGGATATTACGAAGTTTTTCCTTAATTTATTCTAATTGGCAATCTTAGTCATGTTATATAAGTTATACAATAGAAGACTATGAATGGTAAGTGACTATAAGTGGTGTTCATTTTCACCTCTGCTAAGATGTGTGTATTGTTTATGAACACAGACTGTTTCAAACATCCTTAAAACATTAGACAGGTACAAACTGGAGAAATGCGTATTCATAGTATTTAGATATGGCTGTCTCTATAACAATCTTGTCTTCATACGGAAAGTTTATATATGTCATTTCGCACTAATTTGTTAAACTCTGGGTTGTTGTTTGTTCTCTTACAGCAAGACAGTGGGCTGCCAAATAGCATTTTAAAAGGCCTCGACGTCAGTAATCATATTTCCAAAACCATGGGCTTGGTATTTTATCGCTTTGGGATAAAATACCAAGCAAAACTTGACACTACTTTTCGTGAGGTACAAACGAGACTGCATAAACAAATTCCAGAGTTTCATGTTAGGTAATTTTGACCACAGATATAATCACTTCTATTAAACTATACCACATCTGTTTTTCATAATTGCTTTAAAGCTGTTTCCTTTTTACAAATGTTGCATAACTGATTTTTACAAGTAATAGTAAATAATAGTGCTACAGACAATATTCCGCAAGAACGAACATCCCACTAAAATGGCATAAAGTCTATTTCTGTATCTGAAATTTCATGCATAATTGCTAAAACTATTGTATCAGCTTTTTATATATAACAAAGTATTATAGCAATCTGACTACCATGCCAACAAAGCTCCGGACCTTCCAGTTGCCAGCGGGAAGTGCTTCCAATTACATCATAAAGGCACGTTGTAAGGAGAGATAAAATAACTCACAACTATTTAACGAAATACAGAAATTTGTAAGAACTGTATAAATGTATTAAATTTAAATTTC